TCAATATATCAATATACTTGGCCTATTCAATATATCAATATACTTGGCCTATTCAATATATCAATATACTTGGCCTATTCAATATATCAATATACTTGGCCTATTCAATATATCAATACACTTGGCCTATTCAATATATCAATATACTTGGCCTATTCAATATATCAATACACTTGGCCTATTCAATATATCAATATACTTGGCCTATTCAATATATCAATACACTTGGCCTATTCAATATATCAATATACTTGGCCTATTCAATATATCAATATACTTGGCCTATTCATCAATATACTTGGCCTATTCTCTGCAGCATTGAGACCCTCACCTTGGGCAAGACGCCGCTGACCCCCACCACCACCAGGCTGCAGACTTGTGCAGGCATCTCCATCCTGCCCTGGGTCACTCTCACCAACTGGGGCACCGGTTCTGCCTCTACGGCCCCCGTTGCTCTTCCCTGGAAGGTTGAAAATAAAAACAATGAACTCTGGGGTAGAGAGGAAAAGGGGGGGCTTCCATTCTGAAAGGCAAACAGTCTGTGCCCACTCTGGCCTCACCTGGGATTGTGGGATTCCTCAGCAACCAGAGGGAAAAGCCCACCGAGTTGCAAAGGACTCGACCCCCCCCCCTGGGGCCCATGCACCCCCCCTCCCAGGTTAGCCCTGGCTGCATCAGTGGAATCCCCCCCCCTCCCTAGCCTCACAGCCATCCTAAGGAGGCACAAGGCGGAGGGGTGGATGGGAACCTCTTTTTGCTGATATTCTCTGTAACTCCACTGAGTATCATGGAGGCATCTGAGATGCTTTTGAAGGCTTGGAAGATTTATTTGCACCCTTGCCTAAAATTCACGCTGATTAGCAGCGCCCGAGAGAGCTACGGAGGCATTTGCTAATAATCCTTCCTCTTGGAAGTCACTTTTTCTCAAATCTGTTCCTCCGGGCGCCTAAGCCATTGACCGGGTGACAAGCCTCCACCGTGCCTGCTGTTGCCATGAGGATGGGAGCCCCGTGCTTTCCCCTTTCACAAAATAAGCACTGAAAAAGCACAGGCCCTCATTTTTTTTTCAGGCTCGGCCAATTAAAACACAGCTTGTTGAGGAGGCCCCTTAAGGTCAGCCTGGAAGGGGAGCAGAGCCCACCCCTGCCACTGACCAGCCGGGGTCTCCTTCCTGGCCTTGGACATTGGGAAGCCAGGAGATGATGGGAGGCAAAAGGGGGGAGGGAAAGGGGGGAGGCTGTGGGGAGGAGCTACCTGTTAAGTACTTTGAATATGTTAAGTACTTTGAATGCATGCAGTTTCCACCAAGGTCCTCTGCTACCAGCAGGGACTCATTTAAGCAGATTTTTTATTATTATTTTTCCCCTTCTACACCGTGGCACGACAAAACCGCGGTCCACTAAAGCGCGCCCGATTAAAGCGCATACCTGACATCAGCAGCAGCGCGACAAATAC